TCTGAAATTTGACCTCTTCTACTATAGTCAATACCCTTTATCACCCTTCGATCTGTGTTTTTATCCAGTAGCTTTGTTGGCACATATGTGTTGTTCGCGTTATCTAATTGGGATCCCCATATACTCGCCGTCATCGGTTCTATTAGTGTGATGATGTCTTCTGGTCTTGATGCAGCTAAATTCCGATCGGGTGGCTTTAATGGTTTCTTTCTTGGGGTGAGTACTCGTTGTCCGTTTGTGGTTTCCTCTTATGTGTCTCCCTCTGTTTCTTCACCGCTACCCTTCTTGATGGCATGATGACTTCTTTCTTTTTTCTCGTAGGTGGATATGTGTTGTCTGGTTGTGGTTCGTATATGGTGTCCATATCATTGAACTTAGGTGCGTTGAATCCAGCGTGAACGATAGGTGGGTTGTACCTTCTTTTCCTTCCTTGCGTTCACTGATTCCTGTTGCGTATACACATTAGGGCTCCAGATGTATAGTTGATGTTTGCTGTTAGGCTCCAAGATCTTAGTTCCTACATCGTCGTCTTTGTTAGCTCGGTCTGTCCTCTGTCGGTTCCCTCATGACTCCCGTTGCTTCCGTAGGGTGGTATTATCAGTTCTTCCTTCGGTGCAACCTTGTCCTGTTCTTTCGTCGGTGTGTTCTTGCCTCGTCCCTCCATTGGCTTCGGGCTTGTCTCATCCAACCCACACTCCATTTCCTTTTCGATCCACTCCGTGCCATCTATTACTTCATCTAACGTGGTGTCGTCCTTGATGGCAAGCGTTGATACAATCTCATTTCTCAGCCCTCTTACAAACGCTCTCACCTCAACTCCAGGTTCGCCATTTTCGGGATCGACTCTTCTCAATAGATCCCGAAATTGTTGGGTGTAGGTTGCAACTTCCTCATCCTTATCCTGCTTTAGTTTCGCGAATTCTGACAGCCACTGCCGTCACTGCTCAAGCGTTACAAAGCATCAGAGGAAGGCTGACACAAAGATTCTCTTACGGTCGCCTCTATGGTTCCAATGCTCAAGGCGGTTCTGGCAAACTTCATACCAGTCTGCTTCACGTCCCTCCGGATAATCCATTACACGTCTTAGTTTTCGTGCATTCGTCCAACCATAGGTTTCTGCTGCCCTCTCGTACGACTATAACCACGTATACGGATCTTCTTCCCTTTTCTCTCAAATTTAGGTACACTGGTCCGTAGAGCCTCTCCATCTTTTTTCAGGCTAGTGAGGGTTCCACTAGTTCTTGTAAAATTTCAATTGCGTCGTCGTCTAACATTATTAATCAAGATTATCACGGGTTCGTCAGAAAAGGTAAGTGTATTTTTTAAGGTTAACGTTTTTTACTAATATGGTGTTTAATTAATTTATCGGGGGGGGAGGGTAAACGAACGTTGTTCTCAATTTGTTGCTATCCGAATCTCATGGTTCACCAGGGCTAATCGGCGAGCCCTAAATGCTTCTCGCTAACAATAAGGTAAGTTTCTTTTTTAATTCTTGAGGCGTGTCTTCGATTTGGTCGGTTTTACTAACCTCTCTATCGACTAATTGGAACTCTTTATGCAAATTCCCTTTAGGCAAACCCAGTTCTCTCGCTTAGTCGTGTAGCACGAGGGACAAGTACTTCGGGCGCACTTGAAAACAAGGTAAGAGTTTATCGTTAAACGTTACTTTATTGTCAATGCTAGTGGTCTAAAACTAATTACATGCTATCGAATTGCGCATGTATTTATACATGCGCACTCTAGAAATTTCCCACCTCTTAAATTTTCCCACACCTTAATTCCCATCATTCCTCCACAATAACACTAATTATATAACGTAAAAAGAAAAAAATTTAAAAAAAAAACTAAAAAAAATCAATTTCTGGTAAAATCTAATATATTTTTTTTGATCTCGTTAATTCGAATGCATCTAAATCAAGAAAATTCTAACGCTTCGTCAAATTATTTAATATCTAGTAAAAGTTTTTTTCTTCACCAGTACTTGTGGATTTACAGGTAATAATAGTAATAATAGTAGAGATGACAGAAATGAAACGGTAGGTGGTAGTAATCGTTGATGGAGAGTTTTGATCTTCGCTATTATGATAGGCTTATATATGAATATTAATATTAACCATCATTAATCAGACCATTTAGAATAAATGAAATAAAAATCTCTTGCCTTATGCTGAGCCTAAATAAAAGAAATTAGAGATAATTAAGTGTCAAATTAATTTTTGTACTCTCATAACATTAACCGGGGATCAGAATAAAAAAATTGTATTCCATCATATAAACTATTACCTCTATCACATAAATGTAGAAACGAACTCTTAAAAAAATCTTAATAGCCGAGATTAATTAGATTAGAATTCATTTATGTAAAAATAGAGGTTCATTATTTTCTTACCTAATGATTATCTAGTTCCGAGCCTATATTTTATAGATTTCTTAAAAAAATTTGGAACATTATTAATACTAAAATACAATTGCCGGTTCTCATATTCTAATATTTCCAAAATTGCTGATTTTCGTGATTCCTCACAACCTCCGTCCTTAAGTGTACTTCGAAAGTATTGGCAAACTTGTAGGTGATTCTTTTTTTCAATTGCAGAACATGAAAATGCAGCTAGTCCAAAGTTACGATGAATATCTAAGAACTCGGGCACATGGTTAACTAATACATGAATATAGGGTGTAATGTCTTGCACTCGATACATTCCTCTAATAAAATCACTCTTATTAGGCTGACCTTGAGATGGAGCCGTAAAAGAAATTAACCAATTTTGAGCTTTTTCATGAAACATTTTACCAGTGGTTTCCTTGTTTTGTAATAAATGATATAATTCGTCGAATTGGTTCCAAAGATCTCGAATTTGAGTGGCTCGGATGCTAGATTGAAAAATTGTTGCAAGATTAAAATCTTGAAGAATTTTCAACTTGTCGGGTCCCATAAGTGAAGTATAAGACACATTATTATTGCCTTTTTCATGCCAGAATTGAAATGCTATTTTAAGTCTTTTCATTTCATTTAAAATTTTAGTTTGCCAGACTATTTCCTCTACTTGTTCTCGAATAAGATCAGATATCATTAGCTCCCATAATCGATCCGTTATTCTTAATAAGATATGCAATTCGTCACAAACCCAGTTGCAAATAGGTATCATATAAAATAAAGGCTCTTTTGAATGTCCATTCATTTTTAAGTAATTAGTTTTAATTGTTTCTATTGATTTGGTAATCCTCTTGTTTGTATCGCTGATGTTATCTTTAGAACAATCACACCACGGACAAAAATATTTTGCATTAGCGCTTTTCATTCCAAGGCATATAGCTAGAAATTTCCAATCTGAACTAAAATATAGTTTAACTGTCCAATTATTACCACCGATTTGTCGAAAGCCCTTTTCTTGCAATAACTGAAGATCTGAGATCAAAGGAGCGAGTGCATTTTGTAATGACTCATATGTCTCAGAACCTGGATATAAAACAATGGTATAATGATTGTTTGGTTTTTGCAAACCTTCCAAATCATTTAGTAATGCCATTGTTACCATTACATGTTTAACTTTACGTCCCACGTTTCTTCCATCTCTAGAAATTCGAATATGTAGAATTGAAACTCCAGGAATCAAAATACCTATAATATAATATAATATAGTTAAATATGTATTTAATATAAAACTAAAGTTAAAACTTGAATATTTAAATACCTTCTTTAATATAATATGGTATAATAAAATTTAAAATATCAGAAATATGTCGTTGACCTCCTTTTCCAATTGATTCTAACATATTTGTAATAGTATTGGTATCGGTAATATCTGGTGCTCCAGTAATTGGTTTAAAAATAGTTGGTTGTAATATATTTACTAGAGATAACGGAATCTGATTATTCATTTCTAAATTAATTTTTTGTTTCATATTAAATATGGCTCTTTCACGTGGAATGTGTTGTTCAATTCGTGCTAATGATCGATATGCTTCTCTTGTAATACGGCCATAATCTAAAGATTTAACAATTGCTTGGTTTTGCTTCTCTTCATTTTTTTTATCTAATTTTCCAAAATTAACATCAAACCATTCACCATTAATCTCAAAATGAACTTGCTTAATTTTAAAATGATCATTAAAATAAAAAGTATTTTCTTTTTCTTCAACTATATTTAAAACTTGTTGAGCTATTTCCAGTATTTTACGACGTTTTGTTGAAACACTAAGTTCCTTAAAAGGGCAAATCTTAGGATTATAATCTAGTGATAAGGTTTTGCGTACATTTTCAACACTAAATAGCTTTAGACCGAATAGTAAAGGACCAGATATCTTTGAAATATCTTTATAAGGATTGTTTGGATTACGACGATTTCTGATATGACCAATGTCTTTTGAAGTTTTTATTTCATTTAATTTCTATTTATTTTTATTAATTAGAAATAGGGAAATTATAAAACAATTTTTTTAATATTAACATATTACGTTAGTTATAAATTTTTCTAATTACCTTATAATATTGACATGCCGCGTCAGTTGCAGATTTAGATGATTGAACTTGTAACATAAAATTAGATCCAAAACAAATAGTATATAATGGTTTTTTTTCTTTATATTGAATAGAACATAATGCTAAATATTTTTTTTTGCCGTGTTGTGTTTTGATAATATAATTGTTAGGAATCGGATATTTTGGATTTTTTGTATAACAGCATTGGTCATGAAGCGGATATGTTCCTTCTTTTATAATTTCATAAAGAAAAGTTCTATTTTTATCAAAAAATTTGATTATAGAACTTTCAGGATAATTACTTTCTTCTTTCATTATAAAAGATTAAAAGATTAATAAATATTTATTTTT